GAGCTATAGAAATGAACTGAATAGAATTGAAAGCCAAATTTCCCAGAAATTGGTCTTTTATCAAGTTTATGTGTCATTAATTAGATAATTTGTTTTTTCTTATTTAATACGATGCATCATTTGTTTATTAGTGGGTTTTAAAGTTTAGATTCATTCTCATATCATTGAACGGCACAGATTCTCTTTATATCTTTATTTTATCTTTGTTTTATAGTTTTTAGAAATAAAACATCCAAAGATTTAAAGCTTTGACCTTAAAAAATATACTTTAATAAAAAGGAACCTTTGAAGGTAAATAGAATAATCCGAAACAAACTCGCAGTTTAGGATATTGAAACTTTTAAATTCTACTTTAAAAATAAACCTAGGTTATAAACCACACGGTAAACCCAGCATTATGGCTGCTGTGGGATTCTGTGGTCGTGTCTACGGAAGCCGTGTGGGGTCAGCCGCCTCTGGCTCTGCACTGTTTACTTGATCCGTGGTGATGTGAGGATGAAGCGGCTAGCTGGCGTGGCTTTGGGGTGAAGGAGATGGAGGGAAGGGTCGATCAGAAGAGGTTTATTATCATGAACCTCCGTCTGTTTGACACCGACAGCAGCTGCTGCTTCTCCCCTGTTCGCTGAAAAAACGGCTTTTACGCTGCGGCGGTAGCATAGCAACAGGCTAACAGGCTAGGCTAACTAACGCTTTGGGTTTATATGCAGGGTAGGCTATGCTAGGCTAAAAACAGCCAGGCTAGGCTAATAGCAGCTAGGCTAGGCTAATAGCAGCTAGGCTAGGCGAAGGGCTGCTGTTTGTGCGGAATAAAGATGGCCGCCTTTTCAAACTGCTCTTTCTTCGCTGCCGGTGCTGTTCTCTGATCTCCTCCGCTTCCCTCTCGGTCGCCGCTCGGCGGACAGCCTCGCTTTCTAAGGGTCTAACGGCTCACAGTCTTCGCGGGCCCCAGGATGGAGCCGGGCGACTTGCGAGAAAGCCCCGCTGGCTCTGGGGGCTCGGATGTGGGGGACTGGAGGGAGGAGACCCCCGGCGGTGATGAGGGGGAGGATTCAGGGGTGAGTTCTACCAAAACCAGCGGAACCAAAGCAGAAGCTGCGATCATTGACGGCAGCGATGAAAGCGGCCATGGAAGAGCCGCGGTGGAGCACCTCCACAGCCCCTATGAGGAGGAGCTGGACCCCCGGATTCAGGTGAGACCAGCGGCCTCTGGGCTTCCTGTTCACCCCTCAGATCTCTGGATTACCTCCCTGTCTTAGCTGGTGATTATTGTCCTAAATGTAAATCATAATAATCTCTTAATCCCGCTGTGATCACCAGGTAGCTGAGATTAGCTCCCATTTAATCCCTGCTGTTGTTTTTGATGCATTCAGGAGGAGTTGGAGCAGCTGAATGAAGCCAGTGCAGAGATCAACAGGCTGGAGCTGGAGCTGGATGTAAGCTCAGATTATTCTCATTAGATCATCTTAGATTATTCTATGGCTTAACCAAGAACCACAATTAATTCAAATGCAATTAACTCATCTATCAATTATCTAATGTAGTTTATCATTCTAATAATCTCACATATGGAGGTAGAACTACTTTTATTTATATATTGTCTTGTTTTTCCTCCATTAAAAGCTTTTATTGTTAAACTGGTCCAGTTATTTATATTAACAGCAGGATTCCAGTAAACCATCATAAAACCACCAATCAGTTCAATAAAAACAGGCTTAAACCCAAAACTTCAGATATATCTGCATCCGTTAATCTGTTTCCCAGGTAGACCACAGGTGTGATGAGCTGAAGGTGATTAATGTTTTCCACTGTCGGTTTTAGGTTTTCTGTAGGAACGAAATGATTCCAGGTTTGAGGAAAATGTATCCTCAGTTTTCCTTTTAGTTGGACCAGAATTAGGAATCTAATTCAATATATGATCAATCTGAGACTATGGAGGTTTTTAATCCAGTCAATCGCTGATGCTGTTGAACCAGTTTAAGGTAAAAAAAGCATGAAATCTGAAACCCAGCATCATGTCTGTTGGTTTCCTCCATGCTGCTGATCAGGCAGCTCAGCTTCATCCTAACAAACGGCTTTAGTTGAACAGTGAGAGGAATGTTTGGTGGAAACTGAAGCAGATGTTCTGTCTGTAACCTGATCTGCTCTGAGAGGCAAACTGCTTTTCTTCTCCTGCTCCGCCCTTGAAGGACGCCAGGTCTGCCTACAGGAAGATCCTGACGGAGTCGGCCAGGAAGCTGAACGCTCAGAGCTCTCAGCTCGGCAGCTGCATCGAAAAGGCCCGCCCGTACTACGAGGCCCGACGCCTGGCGAAGGAGGTACCGATCAATACTTCTGCTCTTTAATGGCTTCCGTTTGCTAAGTGCTGCTGAATCAGGCGGCCCTCATGCCGTCGCTTCCTGCCTGATCCCAACTCCTGTTCAGAGGAACGGCTCCGGCTGCAGGGATCAGGAGAGTCGGAGGTTCTGAAGGACCAGCTCTATTATCTGCTGCTAGAAGGTGGAGATCAGGAGACTTTCTCAGATGCTTCTCTCTTCCTGGTTGGTTAGCAACCAGGAATCGCTGCTGATCTGGACTGAGGGCCGTCAGCATTACATCATAGAACAGTTTTATATTTATGTCATTATTAGAATAATCCATGAAACCATTTCAGAAGCAAACATGTTGTTCTGGCTCAGCGGGCCTGAAGGTTCGGTTCCTCTGTGATCAGCAGCTCTTCCTCCTGCCTGTCTGCTTCCCTCAGGCCCAGCAGGAGACCCAGAAGGCGGCGCTGAGCTACGAGCGGGCCGTTTCTATGCACACCGCTGCCAGGGAGATGGTGTACGTGGCAGAGCAGGGCCTGATGGCCGACGGGAAGAACACGCTGGATCCCACCTGGCAGGAGATGCTCAACCACGCCACCTCCAAGGTAAACGGCGTCTCAGATCAACCCAGAAGCTTCAGGATCTGCTGGTTCCTGAAGCTTCGTTCTGTGGAGACCTTCCAACCCAGATGTCCTCACCGTCTGTCCCGCAGGTGAACGAAGCGGAGGAGGAACGCATCCGCAGCGAGAGGGAGCACATGCGGGTCACGCACGCCTGCCAGGAGGCGGAGGCTCGGGTCCAGACGCTGCAGAAGTCCCTGAAGAGGGTCATCCTGAAGTCCAAACCCTACTTTGAGCTCAAGTCTCAGCTCAACCACATCCTGGAGGTAAAGCGGCTCCTGGTTTTTGTCTTTGGGGCCGAGCAGAGCTCGGTTCTGGGTCCGTATTGAAGCAGAACCCTGTTGGTTTCCTGTCCGACTTCAGGAGCACAAAACCAAGGTTCTGCAGCTGGAACAGAACGTGTCCAAGGTGAAGACCCGCTACTCCATCGCTCTGAGGAACCTGGAGGAGATCAGCGAGGCCATCCACGCTCAGAGGGGGGCCGACCCGGCCGAGGGGGGGCCGGCCTGCGCTGGGCGGAGCCCCCCTGTGGGAGCCGAGTCCGACAGCAGAGTTCAGGAGGGAGGCGTCGCCGCCGCGGCTGGGAGGGGCGGGCTGGAGCAGGCGGACCGGTACAAGGAGCGCGCCGGGTCGGACTCGCTGTCCGTCTTCAGCCTGCAGACCATCGCCTCCGACCTGGAGAAGTACGACTCCGTGGAACATCTGGGGAACCTCAGCGACGTGGGCAGCGTGACCGGGGACGAAGGCGACAAGGAGCGAGACGGAGGGGGCGCCGTGAGCAAACGGGACAGGCTGATGGAGAGCAGAACCGGCGCCAAGGAGCGGCAGCAGATCTTCTCCAAGCAGCACCACAGGAGCTTCAGCTTATGAGCTCAGCCCAGAACCGGACCCAGGCGGTTCCATCGGCGGGGGGGCGAGCTGAAACCCCGACCTGACTGACCGAGTTAGAGCAGAACCTTCCAGAACGCTTCTCTAGCATGAAGGAGCAGAACTTTACACGCTTGTTTTATTCCAGCGCAGCTGATCTGATGACCTCAGACGCCGTTTCCCCCGCAGCGGCGTCAGAGCCGATCCGCTGTGAGAGAACCGGGTCACCCGGAGGAAAGGACACGGAGCACGCCTCGCTCTCCTGGCTCTCCTGGCTCTCCTCGCTCCCCTCGTTCCCCTGGCTCCCGCTGCAGGAGAGCGAGGCGTGTCTGAGTCCGGGACGCACTTCCAGCCAGTTAATTTAAAATCCTCAGATTAGTTTTATTTAAATATTGTTTACATGTTTTTTTGTTTGCCTTAAACTGAAGCTCCTGTGGTGACTTGATGTGTGCCTTCACACTTTCACTCTTCTTTCATTTAAAATAAAGCAGCCTGTAAATGTTTGTAATAATTTAAGATGGAGAATATTTAAATGTTGAGTTTCTGACAGTTTAGATGTTTAGATCACCGTCTGGATGTGACGCACTGCTTCCTGTCATCTTCATCATCTTCATCATCATCAATAAACCCGATCGTTACCTCCTGATTCTCCTGACGTCTGGTTGATCTGATGTTAAGGTGAAGCTACAGCCGCTTAGATCTGCTCTGATTCACACTGAAGACCCAGAGCTGAGGGATCTGACCTGCTGCGGAT